AACCGCCAACCCCCCCATGGAGAATGGCAGACCTGCAGGCTGCATACAAGTGATCTCGGCGGCATCACCGAGATCACTTGTACATAACAAGCAGCGGCTTCCCCGATGTACATTTACCTCTGCAAAGCAGGGCTAAATGTAGAAAACAACTACCTGCCCGGTGCCCCGAACTGCATGTCTCAGGCATCGGGAGATAGTATCATGCATCGGGAGACTCGACAGCATTGTCGGGATCCGTCCTGGCTGCTGCGGTCTCAGTGTACCTGTAACTCGCGATATACTGAGCTTTTTACTAAGAGAACTATGGGGAAAAACACTTACCCCTTAGTTCTCCTTTAAAGTTGCAATCCTCGGGGGGGCGTGGCCGGGATGTGAGGCAGTGCGGACGTGTCTGGAGGAGCTCCGTCGCTGCACTAAAGAGATCCGCTAAACATCCTGTCAGTTCAGCCCTATTTTCACTCACTTGAGCTCCGGTGGTGTCCGGTGCAGGGTGACATGCCCACCAGGTCCGGCAAATGGACAGAAACTCCGAAACGAGGGGGGAAAACGGCCAAGGGAGCGGCCCCACGCTTGTCCGGCGCCATCTTGTCCACGTCTCCTGCTTCCTGCCGGTGCTCCAGCTCGGCCTGTGGAAAGGAGGGAGGCGCAGTGAATCCTACAGTGGCCCCATCGGAGGCTCCAGACACCGCATCTGCCCCAGGTACTGTGAAGGTGGACACAAAAACTATCCTGGAAGCCATAGAGGGCTGTAAAATTGCCCTCACTGCAAAAATAGACCATCTGGCAGTGGAATGCACGCTAATCCGCCATTATTTAGATAAAATCAGGGGCAGACTCTCACAGGCTGAGACGCGGGTGTCTGGGGTGGAAGATTCGGTGCAGGAACATGCCACATCCATACAGGATCTGCAACACACAGTGAGGGTGCTGGCGGCCAAGGTGGATGATTCAGAAAATAGGATGAGGCGGAATAATGTGCGTGTGGTAGGCCTTCCTGAAGGAGCGGAGGGCACACAGCCTAATACATTTGCGGAGGCCTTCTTTAAAACCTTGCTGGGCCTGGAGGAGCTGCCCCCCACCTTTGTGGTGGAAAGGGCTCATAGAGTCCCCACTGGTCGTCCAGCACCTGGGATCCCTCCGAGACCTTTTTTGGTGCGCCTCCTAAATTATAGGGACCGTGGTCGGATTCTGGCAGCAGCCAGGAATAATCCTGACTTTCGCCATGAGAATGCCTCGGTCCGTTTCTTTCCTGACTTCTCGGCTGAGATACAAAAGAGGAGGAGATCCTTTGTGGATATACGACGCCGCTTGAGAGTAAAAGGGATCCAGTACAGTATAATCTATCCAAGCAGACTTAGGGTACCCCATGCTGGTAAGGTCCGCATGTTCGATACCCCGACATTGGCCGCAGAGTGGTTGGATACCCTGGGGTGAGCAAGTCGCGGGTACCCTTACTTTGAAACTGAGTTACCTTCGCTTCTTGGAGGGGTTCGGCTTTCTATAACTGTTTGTTCCTGACCATTCTAACCTAATGCCTACCTCCACTACCAGGGTATGGTGGCGGCGGATCCTGGGACTGCTCCCTGCTACTCTACAAGTCGGGCCTAACTTTTTTCCCGTTTCTTCATAGACTATGACTGCATGGTCACTGACTCCATGACACGTGTCAATGATGAACTCCGGATCCTGGGATATCCTGGCATGTGTAATTCCACCGTACCAATAGTTTCTTACATGTTGTGCTGGTCCTGGGAAATCTCTGTTCTCCGCATATCTGAACGATGTTACCTTATGGTGTAGCGACAACTGTTAGCTCCACTGCAGCGTGGACAGACACTAGAGTTTTTATTTCTTTTTTAGGTGCCACTTTTGGGACCTTGATTCTTGGCATATGCCTTAGTGCATGTGCCTCTTAGTATAAGGGGATTCACCACTTGACTGTTTTTTGGGGTTCTGGGATAAACTTCCCGGGGACAATGTTGTTGTTCTGTTTACCATGTTTCTCTGGGAAGAGGGGTTGTTTGAATATGTTTGGATACCGGGGGATTGTGTGTTGTCCTGGATCTCACCTGCAGCCTGAGCGGGAGATGTCACTGTCTCCATGTGTCATACTGCACCATGGGTTTGGATGACATAAAGGTGGTATTCTGGAATGTTAGGGGGTTAAATAACAAATTTAAGCGGTCCTTAGTGTGTAATTACCTGAAACAACTTAAACCACATATTGTGCTATTGCAGGAAACACATCTGGATGGGAGTAAGGTGTTGGCTCTGGGACGCCCCTGGATACAGCGTGCAGTACATGCAACATACTCCACGTACTCCCGGTGTGCCTCTGTGCTCATTGGCAAATCTCTTCCACACTGTCACATATCCTGGTGGGAGATTTGCGATAGTGGTAGATAGATATTTTAGATATCCAAGCCACTACATTGGCCGTGGTCAGTGTTTATGTACCCCCACCTTTCCAGGTTCAGATTCTCTATGTAGTCTTAGAAAAGCTTGCACACTTCCTTCCTCTGCCGATTTTAATTGCTGGAGATTTTAACAATGTCCTCGTTCCCTCCATGGATTCCTCTAACTCGGCCAGACCGCCTGGTATTGAATTGCTGTCCTGGGCGGAGACAGCCGGGTTGGAGGAGGTATGGAGGTGGAAACACCCTGGGGTTAAGGCGTACTCCCATATCTCACATACCCATGGTTCATCAGCCCGGATAGATATGGCGTTTGGCAACCAGCCTATGCTGGGCATGATCTCCAGCGCATCCTACCTTCCTGGTAGACTGTCGGATCATGTTCCACTTTCCATAACTTTTTCAGTGCCGGGGGGGAGGAGGTCAGGGTGCTGGAGATTGTCTCCGGAGTGGTTGGGAGAGGCGAGAGTGGAGGAGAAGGTAACTCCAGCCATACATACTTATTGGCACTACAATGCTGGCACAGCTCCGGCCCGGATAGTCTGGGATGCCTTCAAGGCCCATGCCAGAGGAGAATATATTTCTAGCATTAAGGCTGTTCGTCGGGAGCACTGTGCTGCCCTACACATATTACAGGATGAAGAAGCGGCTCTGGCGGCGGCCTACGCGGACTCACCGGGGAGTCCGCGCTGGCTGCCCTTAAGCAAGCCAGGCACTCTATTAATCTTCATCACGTGGAGCTGACTCAGTGTTCCTTGAGGCAGTCAAGGGAAATCTTGTTTGAGCGAGGGGACAAAAATGGCAAGCTCCTAGCACTGTTGGTGGCGGAACAGAGGTCGCAAACTAACATACCGGCCATCCTGGCGGACAGTGGGGAAAGGGTCCGTCAGCCCTCATTTTGCAGGAATTCCTTGCTTACTACCTAAATCTGTACCGCAGGATCCCGGAGTATGACTTGGGTTCACTCCTTGACCTACTGGGTGTTCTTAGTCTGCCACAATTGGACCGGGAGGATAGAGAATATTTGGAGAAGCATCCTACAGTAATGGAGATACAGCTGGCAATAGCCTCCTTCCCTAACGACAAGTCCCCTGGGCTGGATGGCTTTCCTGCGGAGTGGTACAAGAAATATGTGGACTCTGTTGCCCCCCGGCTCAGGGACACTTACCTAGCTTGCCTGGAGGAGGGAGTTTTACCTGACTCTTTTAAGGAAGCGCATGTTGTTCTATTGCCTAAACCGGGCAAGGACTTACTCCTTTGCTCCTCATACAGACCTATTGCCCTCTTAAACATGGATCTCAAGATATTAACTAAAGTGCTGGCAACACGCCTCTCGAAAGTAATTGGGTCCTTGGTCAACATTGACCAAACGGGATTTATACCTGGCAAGTCTACAGATACCAATCTGCGCAGGCTGTTCACCAACCTTCAGCTGTCACATGATAATATGGGTTCCAGGGCCTTGGGCTCGCTGGACGTGGCCAAGGCCTTCGACTCGGTTGACTGGGGATACATGTGGGAGGTGCTCAGATTGATGGGATTTGGCCCTCAGTTCCGCAGATGGGTTAGCATACTATATGAAGCCCCTAGAGCTAACATTAAGATAGGACCTCTTTTATCTAAGGCCTTTGTCATTGAAAGGGGTACCCGACAGGGATGCCCCTTGTCTCCGAGTCTATTTGCGCTGGTGATGGAGCCACTGGCGATTGCCCTCCGCTCCTCAGAGGAAATCTCTGGACTCAAAATAGGGGGTATAGAGGAACGTTTGGCGTTATATGCAGACACCTTATCCTATTTCTAGCAGATGCTGGTCCCTCCTCGCGGGCGGCGCTGAATATCTTAGATACGTTTGCGGGCTTCTACGGATTGAGGGTTAACTGGTCCAAGTCCCATATAATGCCTTTGGATCCACAGACTCAAGTTGCGGCAGATGCCACTGTCCCTCTCCTGTCGGTGGATACTATAACTTACCTGGGAGTCCAAGTGACTAAGTCGGTGAGGGACTATTACCCCCTTAATCTTCTCCCCTTACTTGCAAAACTTAAGACGGGGTTAGACTCCTGGAGACACCTTCCCCTGTCACTAGTGGGTAAGGTAAATCTGATAAAAATGAAAATACTGCCTCTGTTCTTATACCTGCTTCGGAACTCCCCGGTCTGGGTACCTCAATTCTTCTTCCATAAAATGAATTCCCTTATAAGCACGTTCCTATGGAATTACAAAGTCCCTAGGATCAAATTCGCTACCCTACAGGAACCGTGGTTTAGAGGGGGTCTGGCGGTCCCAGATTTAAAAAAAATATTATCTGGCAGGTCAAATGGTGGTTCTACATAGGTGGCTTAAGAGTGACTCTGGAGACGCTGCGGTGGTGGTGGAGGCAGCCTCTTTGGGGTCATACGAGGCTCTGAGTGGGCTGCCCTTTCGGGGTCTTAAGGCGCCATATCACAGTACTGAATCTATGAGAGCCACGATTATGGCCTGGACCTCCACCGGCAAACACCTGGGCTCGACCCACCAGGATTGGTCCCCCCACACCCCCCTGTGGAAGAATCCTCTGCTCCCACACTTTCTGAACATCCCTGATTTTCATGTATGGCCTAGTAAAGGTATTAGAACCTTGGGAGACATTGTGTTAAATAACGAAATCATGACATTTGAGCAATTGAAGGTTAAATTCCGCATCCCTAACACTTTCCTGTTCCGCTACCTGCAGGTGCGTCATGCATTCCAGGGCCAGTTTGGGGGCCCGACATGTATAGTACAACAGTCCAAACTTGAGAACATGCTTAGAAGAGATCCGCTACACAAGCCGCTTTCCGAAGTATATAGGCTTATGTTCCTATCTTCATCGGTACATGCGCTTAGGTGTAAAGCCCCATGGTTGGTGGATGTCCCTGAGCTGGTGGAGGAGGAGTGGGAGGATGTTTGGGACTATCCGTTTGGCCACCTGATTTCTGCCAGAGACAAGCTCATCCAATTTAAAATACTACACCGGGCTTATTATACCCCGGCGAGACTGGCCCGCATATATGGGGGGGGGGTTTGAATGCTGGAGATGCTCTGACCCGTTGGCGGATCTTGTTCACATATTGTGCGCCTGCGCCCGGGTCAGACCATTTTGGGAGGCAGTGGCGAATATCGTGTCCGAATATTCTGAGGTCACGTTCGTACCTAGTATACGGACATGTGTTTTGGGACTAACTGAGCCCCTTGCCCCTACTGTCGCAACCCAGACATTTATTGGAATTCTGCTATTTTGTGCTTGGAAGGTGATCATACTGAGATGGAGACAGAGTGCACCGCAGAGTGTCTCTGACTGGAAGGGCCTAGTCAACGCATATTCTACCCTATATAAGGCAACGTATCAGAGGAGGGGATGCCCCCAGAAATTCTCCAGGGTCTGGGGAGGATGGCTGGAGTCGGTGGATACAACGAGTTAAGAAAATTGTATTGTATTACATTGTATTTTATGTAAATCCTCTATCGGCTTCAGATCACTCCCACATTGAGCTGGCAATGGGAATCTGAAGTAGTATTATAACTATGTGCACAGCTACTGTTTTTTCCAGCCTATTAGACTATGTATTCCTGTGTGAGATGTGGACGCTTCGCATGGGATGGCGGGTGCTGGGAGGACACACAATGTTTAGGGTGGGGGAGGGAGCACTGGGACGTGAGGGGTCCCTATGCTGGGGGTGGGAATGTTATATATGTTTTCTGTTTTTGGTTGTATGTGTTGTACCGAAATGTGTGCCTCCACGGATGTGTAGGCACGGTACCATGTTTTGTATCAAAATCCCAATAAAAAGAATTTACAAAAAAAAAAAAAAGTTACAATCCTCCCTCCTGCCCCATGCTGCTTTAAGGCCTTACGTTAAATGATGCCTCTTGATTCGATCATCTTCTTCTTTACAGTAGTTTTCAGGAGTCCCTTCAGCGCTGGCGCCGCTCTCTGATCCAGCGCAGATTCCTGTCTGTCCGACGTACACGCTCACGTATGTATGCATTAACCTCCACTGTGTCTCTCCCCTGACTACTTTACAACACACACAGGGACAATGAGGAATATAAGTAGCCACCCTCCAGAAGGAAGGGCAGTGATTTGAGGATCTACAGCCGAGTGATACACAAATAAGATACATTTTTGTTAATAGTTCAGGTACTTGAATGTATTTTTAAGATTTAACTCCTGAGTGTATTGTCACTTTAATAGCTTATTACAGTAAATTGCCAGAAATTGCATTTGTAACATCTGCTACTGTAATTACATTTCTTTCCACAGTCTTCAGCAAGAAAAATAACCCAAAGGAACTAATGTCTGACAATGGACCACACTTTGTTTCATCTGAGTTTGAATCCTTCCTGTGAAAGAAAGAAATATTGTGCATAGGAAATCCTTAGTTTATTACCCCCCAGCAAATGAAGCAATTGACAAATGTAACAGACTGCAAATCTTCCAGGGAAATGCCTATAGAAGGACTAGACATGCAACTACACAAGCATCACCAGCAGAACTACTACATGCAGAGGTGTATTTTGTTTTTTGTTTTTTTTTTGTTGCTCTTTTTTTTTAACCATAGTTTTTTATTAGGTTTTTACAAAATACAGGTAATGGTAACAGTCTTGTGAGAATCAAGTAATGTAATACGGTAAAAAGTCACTACTCAGAATAAAGTTGCTTCTGTTACAAAGATTATTACGTAAGATACACAGTTAAGTATGAGTATATTGCTATACAATTTGTGTGTTAGATGAACTGGTTTGAATGATGCAGGTGCTCGTCGTGTCTCTGAATACTGGGGGGCAAGGGGGAGAATACAGCATAACTAAAGGGGGAGAGGATAACACAGGACAGATTAAAGTGAAACAGAGCTTGGCACAACAAATTGCATCACTTCATAGAGGGAGCATTCGTTGCCTTGGGAAACCGTAAGGCCACCTTAGAGGCATCCGGGCTGAAAAAAACATAGATGTGTACGGGGTGGAGAATAACAAAAGGTAGGCACTTGAGTAAACAGGAAGATACTTCCCAGGACTGTTTGCAATTAGTAATTCCTTTACCCCAGTCCTAAGGTGCAACAACTGTTAGTGAGTCAGCAAATCGCAGTCTGCTAAGAATTTCCTCTCCTTACAATGAGCTCTGGCGACAAGGTGTTCAAAATGCAAGTGAGTGTTGAGTATTTCAATCATCATGGGTAGAGTCGGAACGGACAAGTCTTTCCATAGTCTAGCTATGGCAAGTCTAGCTGCTATAGTGTGTCACAACCACTCTCAGGGGTAGTGGCCAGTGTGTATTTTGGTTTTGTGCTGCCCTGGGCAAGCCTAAACTCGTGCACTCCCCAATCTAGATTTGATCTATGTGATCCAGTGCGTTCGGGGCACGAAGCGCGCTGGAACACACTGGATATGGTGTGAATGGGCCCTTACAAATGAAAAGGGAACTTCACTTCTCTTCTAGTTTTCTTTGTTCCATCCTTTCTAAACCAGCCCAATGTTTATTAGACAATATTTGCACATGTGTGAAAATCACTTTCCTGTTTGTTTAATACATTTTTTTCTATTAGTACATTTCCATTAGTTTTTTTTATTTCAAGCCTATGCAGCAGGAAATAGTTTATGTTAGCCTAAACCCGTGGTTCTCAACCTTTCTAGGGACGGAACCCCTTGGTAACATTTGCCAAGTTGTGGTGACCCCCAACGGTAAAATGTAGGGATGACGCGGCTGCTGCAGCGACATCTGGCGGCGTGGTGGGAGAACTGGCACTGCTGCGCTAGGAGAGGGCTGAGGAGGACTCTCACCTAGCACAGCAGAAATCACACAGCGACCCACACGTTGAGAGCCACTGCTATAGGCAAAGACAGGACTAGGCTCTGCAGCTGGAACTAGAAGAATTGGATTTAAAGTGTGTGGCTATATAACGTATGAGGTACATACTCCGCAGTACTGTCACTGACAGAGCAGCCCATAGAGTTCAGTGTAAACCGTGAGAGTTACTCCTGATAAGATATACTTAATTCCTCTTCTCCAGTCTGTACTCCTCCCTCCACACTCTACTATGCTGGAGGACTTTGCGGTGTGTCACAGTCATGTGACCAGGTCCTGGGGTGGACGGGGCCAGCTGTGCTATGTGTACACCATACGCCGTCAGAATAAAAAAAAACACCATAGGAATGCATAGCTAGATTCCTATTGGCTATTGCAAAGTGAAATAGCCAATAGGAATCTAGCTATGCATTCCTATGGTGTTTTTTTTTTTTCTGACTGATGGCAGCCGGCGGCCCTGATGTCAGAAAAAAAACAGAGCAGCGAAAGGTTTACTCAAGCACAGTAAACCTTTACGGGAGAAAGTGTTTCTCTCCCTGGCGGCCTGGAGACGCTAGGCGACCCCTGGCAAATCGTCATTCGACCCCCGACGGGGTCGCGACCCATAGGTTGAGAACGGCTGGCCTAAACACAAAATGAAAACCACATTACAATCATGACTTACAGTAATTGGCATACCCAAGTTTCTCACTATCTCCCATGTGTATCCTATGGTAGCATTGCTACCACTGAAGAATAGTCAATATGGACTCCCACCATTGTAAGACTGGACATACCCCCACTGATTAAATAAATAATATTACTTGTCACAATAATACTATAGGCAGAGGAGCAGTATGCACAGGTTGGTACACGACCTCCCTCCGGTCCCCTCTCCGCTGTCAGAATGCAGAACTGATATATATTACAGCACTTCCACATTCTTGTGTCACTCTCCAGCTTCAGACGCTGGAGAGAAGCTGATGAATCAGATCTCTGCTTCATCAGCTTATTCAGGGGGGTCCTAGGCGACATTAGGGGACCTGTGACATATTTTGCTATCACATAATGGGGTTTTCTTAGCCCCCTATGTGATAGCAATAAAGTTAAGTGAAAAAAAAATAGGAAAAAAAAATGTAAGTTTCCCCCACAAAAATGTAAAGTTACAAGTAGGAATGTCCCGATGCCACTTTTTCAGGCCCAAGTACAAGTACATCCCCTCATGTACTTGCCGATACCAATTACCGATACTTTTTCTTAAAGGGACAGGTGACTTTAAATGATCCATAGTACAACTACATGTTATGTACTATGGATCATGGTTTAACCTATTCATGTTAGCAGTGGAGAATTGTAACTCTATTGCTGGAGTGTAGTGGAGG